TGTCAGTAAAATGTGACTTCAGGCATCGCTACACATTATCGATGAAACGACGAATCGTCGTATTTATTTGACATTTGTTATTCCCATAACAGTATTTTTACAGAATAAATTAATTGCAATGATACATCATTAATAATTACTTGTCTATTTTGGTTGTGTGTGTGTTTGCCTATCCCCTTCGCTATTTCACAATGAAAAAGTTTGATGACCCTGGTTTAAGAGCCACTGGCTACAAAGTTGTCAACATGTTACCTCAAATAAGCACCCCCCAGAAATGAAAGTGTTACAAAGTGGCTCTTATTTGAGGGATTTTACGGTATTCGCTGGATTTTATTTTCACTGAATCATCCCTTCAGTGAAAATAGCAAAAATACATATCAAGTAGAAATAAAGTTTTTTACAGTACAGGAATATGTATGTGAACAAATCTTCGCATTTATTGTATATCAATTACAGAAATAAGCAAATACCTTGTATAGAAAGAAAGTACTTTCCACAAACTCTGGCCTCAGAGGATGTTGACCCCAGTACACATTGTAGTCAACAGTAAATGCCTGAAAGATAACACACAAAATAATATATTATGATAATGAGAAAAATACACATACATGAAAATACTGGGATTTTGTAATAAATTAACCGTGTTGTACACCTTTAGCTGCATGGCCATTGTGGCAAAGTCTGACCTATGATTATAATATTACAGACAATAATCAGCCAATAAGCGTGGTAAAACTGGCACAGATTTCAGCTTTAAACCTATTAATACTAATAGCAGATACAAGTGGTGTTCTCACTGGACAAAATAAGCTGTTGTCACAACGCCTTGAGAACGTTGTTATAATGTGTGGGTGAACGTCAGCGTTTTTGACACTGTCGTAAAAGGGGTGGACCAGATCCTAAACGCCGTTGTCACACCGGCTCTTGCACAACGCACTGTGTGAACACAATACGACGGCCAAACGCCCACTATCGCCGACTTATTTATGCTTGTCATTACACAAGATGGCATCAGAGGTTACAGGTTGAATGTCAAACTGGTCAGACGAAAAAAACAAGATTACTGATATCTGTATGGAGAGAATCGAATATTCAAAGAATGGTGGACAGAACGTCTAGGGATGCTGGGCCAATTGTTGTGTTATTCATACACTCGAATAGCGTGAACATGAACCAATCATTTCTCGGTCTTGTTTGACCTAACAAGTTGACGATTTCTTGCTTTTCGAAATCTTGATAAATTGTTCGTCGTTGTCTTCTTCTCATGTGTAAAAACACACAGAAAAACAAGAACAAAGCAATGCAGAAGAGGCCATTTTTCGACTGATCTTTCAATTTGTTTATTGACCTTTCTGTGATATGATTCGTTGAGGGCGCAAAACACCGGTGTTTTTACTGAGAACACGAGCAGACAATTCAGCAGATTATAGATAATATTTGCACAACAAAAAAACAGTGTTAACACTGGTGTTTTTTAGACGTGTGAGAACGTTGCTACAGCCTCCTGGCCAAGTGATTCCAGTCATTAACAACTCTGACTGAAAGGAATTTAGCTCTTTGACCAATTGTTTTATCTATTTGCAGTTTCAGATTGTGACCTCATGTAGTTTTACCACATAACTAAAAGGCAATAGGTATTCTGGTTAATATGATCATGTCCGTGGATAACTTTATAGGTTTGAATTAAGTCAGCATGCTTGAGACGATAAAGTAGAGTTGGCAGTTTCAGCCGCGTCAATCTTTCTGTATACATGATGCAAACACTACTCACAGCAAACACGAACAAATCACAATCCAAAAAGACTATCAGAAATACAGTCTGTTACTGCCAAATCTGTATCATTACAAAGGCACAATACAACAGAGGAGATGTGGCTTCTATTAGAGCATCTAGACATATGATAAATGATAAATTTTTGGTTTTAAATTGTTCAAAAAGAATGAGTGTGGCTTCTATTACGGGGCAGCTTTTAATACAAATTAGATTGGTAAAATCCACCTACCTCAGGAAGAAAATTGTATCTTTTTGTTACTTGGTATAGCATTTCATGGGTTTCAATAGCAGGCTTAATATCTCCCACAAGAACCTGGAAATAGAAGCAACAATTAAGTACATATATTTATGCAACTAACACTACCCTATCACAGAGTCACCATATACATCATATATATTAATTAATCATCCTTCTTAACTTAAAAGCTTCTCGTTAAAGCCTTAAAAACAGAATTTAAGTTTTAATAACTGTTATTATGGGCCACAGAAAATCAACTGTGGATAATGTTATTTCAAAATAGCTTCACCTAACATCAAAAACTTAGTGCAGTAAGGTAAATTAAACAGATAATGTCACAGTATTAAACATTCAAAAATAAACTCTGAATACCATATTTGCTTTATTCCAAGCGCATATGTTTACATAAATGACTGAACTGTTTCTATGGTAAAAATAAACCAGTATACAATAAGTGCAATTATTTGATTATTTGTCTATACACATGCTTTATAAATAATGCCATTTAAAATCTCTATGCTTCCAAGGCAATCATTGATGGATGTTATTCTGTATGGTCGTTTACCTGTAGGCCTGGCCAAAACGCTAATAATGCATCCATAAAGTTCTTGGACTTAGTTGTTGGCTTATGCATATGTACATCAATTAGAAGCGGACCATTGCTAACATAACGCATGATTGCATCATAGTGCTGTAATAAATACATTATAATTAGTACTTTACAAAGTCATTCAAAACATAGTAACCACATAGGGTAAGGCAATTCAATGCTTAGGATAGATATACAGTGAATGGCACAAAACTGTATCTTAAATTACAAAATAATGTATTTATAATAATATAGATATAGTGATTGATTAACACTGTCTACGCTCATAATGCATGACAACGCACTTCTTCAATATGAAGCATTGATTGGATGATGTTGAACTAACTCATTAATATTACGTAGCTCACGATGTCAACGTACCATTTTTTTAGTTTGGCCAATTAGAATTAAACAGTCATTTTGATTTATAAAAATGTATATTTCTAGAAAAATTTTATAACATCTTTCGGTTTCTGCTATTCATACAATGTATGTATTTATAAACTGTCAGAACAATCAACTCCAAAAGTGCAGACATAACAGTACCATATGCAAATTATCTGTCACATGATTCATTATTAGTAAACAACCATCATCCAAGTTCTAAGGCATATTGTACATGATTAATAGACCATTTTCCGTTCACTGCGGGAATCACGCGTTGTGCGTGAAATCGAACAAAAAAACAGGACAAACAAAGGTCATAGCGTCGTAGTGGCGTCAAACATTGCATGTTGTCACACGCAACGTAATATTATCGTAATTGGTATAGTACAGGTGTGATGGTTCAAATACCAAAATGACAACAGTAACAGAAAGACTTCTCTGGCGGCGATGATAAAATACGAACACGGAGCCAACAGATGAGGTTTCAACTGGTACTGGTATTATTATACTCTGCAAACATCAAGTACAATAACGCGGTAAAACTCCAAACCTCCAATAACTAGATACTTAAACTCCAACACAATTCAACGAGTTCGCCGATCTGAACTCAGTGCTGAACAACTCCCCTATATATACCCCCACTGTCTATAAATAGACCATTACATCAGCATACATAATGAGTCTGGAACTTACTACCATTTTCTAGAATGTTCCATTACCTTCTATTGCCTCCTACAGTGTACTATTACCTATTCAACCATTTTCTAAAAAAAAATCTAGAATATTCCACCCAGACACAGTACGGTTCTATAACATTCTCAGTGACACGGACGTGGTAAATAAGTTGTATGCGACACATGCGATTCAACAAACGCGAAAATATTTTGGGGGGTATTTCCATGCTTGATAATGTGCTGTACACATTTGATGATAGACAATTTTGATTAAGTGAGGGTATTCGAAAGCAATACTCATGTTGAAGATCGGCCGGTCGATGTGAGCTACGAAGTAAAGAAATTTGAGTTCAAAATCAAATCGTTTTTGCGGCAGATATTCGACGCGCGTCTTTCATGCATCTTGCGAGATCTTGCAGTTGAATGAAAAATCACCTATTTGAATACATCATAACCTTGAGTTCTTGAGTATATGATATCATACCTTATTAAATCTTTCTAGATAGATCTCTTCACCCAGAAGAATATAGGCTTTAAGACAATATTCATAGTAAGAGTCGATGCCTGCACCAACTCCACTTTCTGTTTGAACACAAATGTATGAATACATGAGGTACAGTGAACACACATGGGTTAGCTGTATTCACTGCAAGAAATGTCACAGCATGCAATGCATAGAGGAAAGTAATTGAATGAAACGTACCTCTTCTAACCCAATCCCCATTGTGTATATTGATGGTGGTACCCACCAGATTATTAGACCGATGTCTTTTTTCCCAAATATACTGCATGGCACGATGAGCTTTTTCCTATAATATTGAGAAATATCAATACAGTTTTACATTCATGATCTTTATATACTTTCATTAAAAACCAGTAAGTTTATAAAATGTTATTAACCTCCCCCTTTTCATCACAAATTCACAAAATAGTCCCGCTTATAGTCTGCACAATCCTTCTAAAGATTGGGACAAAAATTGCCAAATGTTTTTGAGTAAAAACAGAAAATTTACAAAAATTTTGTCAGTTGGCTCCAAAATTAGGGTTCATTTTAAGAAATATTGAAGAAATTAAGAAAAAAGTGCAGAAAAAATTTGGGCGAGAAAGTCTGGGGCAGTATTTGGTTTCTCTGTTGAATACACTAATGTACATGAATTAGATCAGCCTTAGCATTACTTACTTCAAAAATGCTCTCCCCTGTCAGCCTACTGAGGGCAGCAAATTCCAAAATCATAGTGCCAGCACATGCTGTACAAGTGTCTCTCTCTGTACCCGTACGTGACTTGGAATTCACCACTCCATATCTTAAATTTACCTGCCATGAGAGGAAACACAAATAATGATGATAAGTACTTGATAGGAATAATATAAATCAAGTGACAAATGTCACAATATAAGTCATATTTGTCTAGAATCAATGAATGAAGTTGATTTAACAATCAAGGTAACAGCAACAACGGAAAAGTGTCCAGGTGATCACTCAATCTAAGCCCACTATTTCAAAACCTCCTGGTTTTAGCTAAAATCCCAAACACAAAGGATTGCTTGCTTTGGTATTATATTAAATAAAAGGGTTTGAAATACAAGCATGCCATCCCTCACAAAAATTTGTTTTCAAAAAATAACAAACAGCCTTTCGCGCGAGATAGCTCCACTGTTAGCAATGCACATTTCAATTAGAGAATTGAAGATATCATCACAAAATGAACAAATCTGAGAGAGGTACATCTGTAGTGCCTATATGTATAATATCAAAACAATCACACTTGCGGTTTTCAATAAGAAGTCGAAAATATCACTTTTTACAAAAAATGTAAAAAATATTCATCAAAATTAGAAAATTAAAAATATCATTACAAAAAGAACAAATCTAAGAGAAGGTACATATACACCAAGTATCAAAGCAATAAGAATTGCAGTTTTCAAGAAGTCAAAAAGTAAAAAGTTGACACAGACGACGACATCGGACAATCACTTATATGATAAGCTCCGCTCAACAAATTCGACAGCAAAGCTAAAAAATCAAATCATGCATTGTATAAATGCTTTGACTCAAGCGTACACTGTACCTTGAAACAATTCTCATTGTGGACATTACCACTATAAATTGACTTATCACACACTGTGACAGCTAAAACAATTATTATTATACACACTTACCCGTGGAAATGGCATGCCAGTAGAAGTATTGAATGCTGGCAGTAGTCTATAGCCCAAATCTTTAGCCATATTTAATAACTCATCATTATACCACTGCATATAATCAGAGCTTTCCTTTAATGCAAGGGACATCACATGCCCACCTAATAAACCCCTGCAATGTGAAGACAAATGAGTTATAGCAAGTTAGTCATTACTGTATTACAACCAGTTGTCACTTTCAAGAACAATGCTTTCAAGCATCTGCATCATTTTGATCTCACAGAAGAAAGACATACATGTACTCAAAATATGACCAAGGTTGGTGATGACTGCTGCATTAATAAATTGATATATGTATGTATATGTACATTAGTGAAAAAGCTGAAAATGATTATGCAAATCAGTTTAAAAATGAAAGTTCAATTAAAACCAATCAGGTCTGCAATTTAATATGTCAAGTGAAAAAAGCACAAAATTAAGCATAAAATTCAACCCAAAACAAATCAACTCTATGGACTTGTAATGTACCAAGTTTCATTGAAATCTGATGAGTGGTTTTTGAGTTATCAGTTGAAAAGACACATACAAACATGAATAAATGGGCGGAAACTCAGAGACTCTTGTGCCATCAGAAGTCAAAAATCCCAGTAATTTGGTAATACAAGCTGAATATTTGATAGTTCATTTGTTTATTTAATAATATATTTCCCAAGGAATTGTTTGTGATTTATAGTAAACTTCAATATTTCAAATATAACAAAAAGTGTGTTTTTATTTTTAATTATATTTGAATGCTTTTTAACTCTCTAAACTTTTCTGCACACATACTTTTCTTTCTTTTATATCTGCTTGGTGATATTTCCCCAAATTAAAGTAAGGCTTGAAATAAATGAAAATCATCATTGAACAAATAGTTACTGAAGTGGAGGTCAAAATTCAGCTATAATGACCTGAAGAGAAATGTATACTGAATATTGAATGATACAGAGGTAAGTATAAATTTCATTGTATCCCAAAAATTTAACATAACATTTTTTGTAAACCACCACACATGCACAAAAATAAAACTAAGTACAGGGTCACTGGATTTTTATGAATAAATCTATGTTTATAAAGAGTTGTATTGATGGCCATGTGACTGCGTTCTGTCCAATCAAAAGTATATACAAACGTGATACAGAAGTAATGTAAAAATCCTTACCCCAAAACTCTGATGTTAGTCTCAAAGACAGAGACAACAATGTCTGTGTCAAATGTCACATCACGTATGACAAGCTGAACTGCATTTTCAAACTTCTTATAATTACCAAGCAGTGCTAATGTATCTAAAGTGTCTATCAATGTTAGTGAAAATCTGAAACAAAAAAAAAGACAAAAATGTAGAAACTGGTAATGCATAAAATGTTATATTTCACTGTCACACTTTCCGATTGGTTAAAACAAGACACATGATGCATAAATCAGTGATACATCAGTTTATATACATTAAATTAACATGAAAATGTCACTTAAAATATGAGTCTAAAATTCCAGTACGAGTCTGTTTAAACCAAAGAAATGTTATTGATGTGATATAAATGCATATTACTAATTCACATGGGAGGGTTTTTTGGTTGGCTAACAAGCAAGTCATGAATGAATCAATTTTCCTGTGATGTACCAGACAGTTAGGAAATTTAATAAATGAGGCCCTGTATGTACAATCAAAAAACACCGATGGATTTCATTGAAATAAATTATTATTATTATACTGTGTCTTCTACATTCCAATAAAACACTGAATTCAAAGATGGATGTGTCTGTAGAACCACATCACAACTAATTATTAACGATTTTTAATCACTATACATTACTTTATCACATTGCCTGGGTGACATGAAACATCTGTCATAGTTCTCAACAAACGCTATTTTAGCATTACAGTTCAGACACAAGAAATCTAAATCAAATTTGGAAAATTGTATTTAATGTTTGAATATGGTTTAGTTATTCCGCTTTAAGTTTATTTTGAGAGGGTTTCTATATATTTCAATCAAAAAAAACTCAGGAGGGTATTTGTATGAATAAATGTTCTTTAAGTAATTGCATTACATAGACCGAAGATCTAATTCTGGTTACAAAATGGCAGAAATGCATGGCGAGTTTTTGACAGTAAAATGGCAGCCATTCAGTCATCTTGAATCGGGTCATCAAACAAATACATGCGCATATGTGCTACAGAGAATGCTTGATGTTTACATGAAGAGCATTGTCAGAGCAGTATTTGTTGCAACAAAATGATGTGCATCAAGGTTCCATAATGTGCAATTTATGTATCAAGTTGGAATGAAATTTGTCCATACATGACTAAGGTTCAATTCCAGAATAACAGAAATGCTTGATTTTGATGTATTTTTAGTACAAAAATGACCACCATTATGGAATTTGAAGTGAATATCCAAATGCACGAGACAAGAATGTATGCATGGAGGTCAATCCATAAGTCTTTGTTTTCAGACTGCCTACAAACAGGACTGAATAGTAAAAAGATATTAATAACTCACTTTCCCAGAGCATCATCTACATCACCTCTGCTGGTTTCTTCACCCCTGACACGCCCCTTGCAGCTAAGAGGCATTAATTCATCAGCTGGATAAGCATATGTCTGTAGTAATAAAACAATAATCGCCATTAAAATATGTAGCATATTGGTCAGCCTGGCTTTTATCAGGCCTATTTGAATTTTGTTATTGAAACATATGGCTGTAAGACAATCCTGATTTTATATCAAAGCTGATGCAGCCATAACACACTGAGGTATCAGCATGTATATATGAAGTGTAAAACTGCAAATTAGTTTAATGTTAGAAGTTTATGAACCAATCAGATAATGGGCATGAATCTGGACAATTAACACCAAAAAACTAAAAGAACCAAGTGCATGTATAAGTCCACTACCTCACAAATGCATTTAGTGACAAAGTTTAAAATGACAATACACAATACAATCTATTTTCACTTTAAAGTGCCTGTGCAATGCCCATCCTCACGTTTCCCATTTTAGATCTGTGTCCCACTGAAATGGGCAGTTATTAATTTTTTTGCTGAAAATGATTACTCGTATCCAAGTAAACTTGGGATATTTCTCGTGTTGTAGCCACGCCCACCTATCCTGAAACGGTCGACTGTTTCCGGATTTCAGACTCTCGCCGAAAGTGCGCCACCAAATGCCAAAATGTGAGAGGAAGTCATACCCCTGAGCCGTAATAACACTGGTCATTCAGTATACTTTTAAACGATATACATTTTTCGGTCGGCCTTTTTTTTTTCTTTTTTTTTTGGTCTATTTTCTTTTTTTTTTGGAGAGAGAGTTCTTAGATGTTGTGTTGTGGGCAGTTGCAGTGAAACGTATAGTCATAGTGTAAGTATTGACACGTTTCTAATCGATCCGAAGGTGCGATATCAGTGGACGAAAGCCACTTAACCTCAGATTCTTTTTTTGGGGGGGGGGGGGGGAAACTGTCCTCGTCCATGAAAAAAAACCTAGGTTTAAAGAGAAACGCCGACAACATAAACCTGGTGCAACACTTTTGAAAGAAATAGATTTCGGACCATGATCACCGAGACGGATTACAGAAGAGAGAGACGTCCGGCAAGTGTTTCAAATGAGTTGACTTCTTTTGCGAACATGATTATCATTTTATAGAGACCATTTAGTCCCTGTTAAGTAAAAGGTAGCAATAATTTTGACAGTGACACGAAAACGAAACATCGGACAAACAGGAAATTACACAGCCCTTACACACTGCTAATTGTTTTCATTTTCGAAGGCTGAAAGTTTCTGAATTGTTTGTTGATTGTTGTTCTTTTTTTATCTCCATGCTTGCAGCTTGATCTGTGATAGAGGGACTGTGATATGATGTTATAATTATGACAATCACTCCATGGATCACGCTAACTCGAATCCACTCTGAATTTATCTGTATGTGTGTCGATCTCGATTATTTTGTTATCCAATTAAACGCCGCTTTTAACGCACTTGCCCTCGTCGTGACCCGACGCGTTCACCTATTTCAACAAAATTTGAATTTATTTCCACGCGGCTGTCATTTATTTAGTAACTGTGATTTGTCGTTTTTTTTAATTATTTTATAGTGATCACGATAGTCTAATGTTTAGAATGTCAAAATATGTTCTCTTTTATTTTAATTTTGAAAGTTTTACTCAGACGATCGATGAAATAAAACAGTGTAGTGACGTGCCTAGTAACCTGTCGGTGACGATCACGGTGACCAGCTACACCAGAACGGACATATTTCGCATCTAACTCAACCCCATGCAACAAAAATTGATAGTTTGTGTTCATTATGGTCTATTCCCCCTTTGACAAACAAGTACATAAGTGAAATTTTAGTCAAAGACGAGAAAACTGCACAAGAAATTTGCCTTATTTACACGTATCTGCAATGCAAGCTGCCATGCG